TATTTAAGCAGGCTACAAGGCCATTTCCTTCATCTTGTTTGACCCAAAACCTGGCTGTCATTTCTCAAATGAGAGCACTGCTCTTAGCTCCTACTTAGACATACCCTCAGTCCTCTGACACACAGGACAGCAGCTCGTGCAAGGTTAGTGTCTGTCTTGTGTCTTGGTAAAAACAGCATGTTCTAAAAACCGTGTTACCCAAGTTGGCAAACTGTTTCAATTTAGTTCCTTACTTTCCTGATCAGTAAAATAAAGATCATTGTAACAGTTGCCTCTTGGAGTCCTTAAGTAAGATAAATTAGCCTGGCACACAGCAATACTCCATAAATGTTAGCCCCTGTTATGACTCAAAATCAGTCAGTAAACTAAATACTCCCTATTACTATGGAACTAAACATATACTTAAGTTAGTGAATAAACACTCATCACATGTATTTCTACTATCTCAAGAAATTAATGAAGTTTAGGATCAAGTGAGCAAAAAGACAAGAAAATGGTACAGGCGGGAGAAGCTGCCAGCCTTCAGTTTAGATTGAGAACATGTTATTTAGATACCATGAATTACAACGTATAAAACATGTATTTACAAACAAAATGGAAACACACTTGAACAAACTTTAAAAAGTTCTGTTTTTATAAAGAGTAGCTTTACTCAGAAAGCAATTTTAAAGCACATGAACTCACAATATAATTTTAGAAGACCAACATTTCCACTTTAGAGTCTAGTGTCTAACAAAATGTAAAACTTTAAAAATTCCAAAGCATATTTAAATAAAAGATCAAGGTAAGTCAAACACAATTTTTAAAAATATTCCAAAATGGAAGTTTAACAATTTGCTTCCAAGTGTCTCTACAGAAAACTAAACATTTTCAAACAACTGCACTCCCCATTTGGCAACACGGGTCTTCACTTCTCGCTCCTGTGTGCACAAACACGGCCGGGGCTCTGATTTCTTCCTTCCTGACATTCCTAAGTACATGCAGGCCAACTGGAGACAGTGTGCCAAAGCAACGGAAGGTGCAATGGCAAACAGGAGCCGATTTGCCTCTAGAGAAGCCACCATTCATGGGGGACTCAAGTTTTGTGACCTGGGAAACTAGGTTTAATTGCATTCACGACAACTCTTCCTTCTAAAATGCCGCACGTGGCCTTTATGCAGTGCTCCGAGTGGGAGCTCCGTAGTCAGTGGGGTCTGCGCTGGCTTCGGGGCCCTAATCCCGGCTCAGCCAGTTAGGCTGCAATCCTTGGCACATGCTCAGCAGTTTCCTGACATGTAGGGCGCTATGAACAACTGGACCGACCTTACAAGGTTGTCCAGAAAATTAAATGCAAAAAAGTGGGTAAAGCGCTAAAGAGAGTGGCCAGTACATTGCTATACCAGTTTTCCAACTTGGCGTGTTCACCACTTGTTTGTAGGAAGCAAAGTGTCATACAGACACGGGTAGAAAGTTTACCACCTCATATGTGATTATAAAATACAAAAATTATTTTTAACATTTATAGTTTGATACAACTCAAATCATTTTCAATAACAGCGTAACAGACATGGACAATATAAATCTCTGAGGTTCAAAACAATACAAAAGTATAAAAAAGTTAATTAAAACAAAGTTTCAACTATAATAACACTTCAAAATATAGCACAATATCACCATCTAGTGAGCACTTAAGTGAAAATTTTTTATAAGTTTGTTTTATCACTAGGGAAATAAACCTTTTCATTCATATTCTTTCCACTTATATGTAGGACTAAAAATAAATCTTACTAGTACATTGAAAGATAACTACAACACTTATAATTAGGCTGCATATTTCAATTATTTCTAAAACGTTAAGATCAGAGTTAAAATAGCTTTGTTCAGATATTTAAAGTACATCAGAGACAGCATGCAAACCACCAGAAATACTTCACGACTTCTCAATTAGTGCAGTTATCTCTAATGAACTTATGAGCACAAAATCACAATGTAGTGAGACCTCGACAGGTATTTTACCCTACCTGCTACTAGAATCTACTAAAGAATCTCTGATAAACACAAATTTTCCTTCTAATGAACTACAAACTCAGTTTCTAGGGGTTTATTTTTCTGCAGAGAGTAAACAATTAGAAAATTTATTTTGTATGAGTAGAAATCTGTTAACCCAATTTATACTTTAGCCAATATAGGATAATTATAGTCCTTTGAAAAAACTGTCTTCATATGAGCTTATTGCATTACTAAATTTCTTTAAGCGCATCTCTTTGAACAATTTATCTTGCAACAAAATTACAAACCATTTTGTTCAAGCTTCTTCAAACAGTTAACATTTTTTAAAACTACATTATAAAATAATGTGTTATAAGTTATCCAGCCAGTGCAGAGTAACGACAGATTATTAATTCTCTCCATATTCTTTTCTCTTCATGAGCACTTTTATTGTATGGCCCAGAAAAATAATCAAAACTTTGTAGATTTGAGGGTCAGACTGACCTATACTCATTTACATTGAGTGGATCTGGAGCAAATCGCCAGATACGCCTGACCTTTCATTTCTCCCGCGATGTAAAAAGCAACATGTACAACACAGGTTTGAGTAGACTTGCATCAGACTGTAAACCAGCCGTAGAGCGCCCAAAAGGTCACATCCTCATCATCACCTCTCCTGTCTCTCCCTCATCTCGTGCGCGATGTTCTCATGTGGGCAAGGCTTGAATGATCTGCTCAGGTTTCAGGAGGCAAAAGCAACACAACTGGGCCTGCCTGCCGGCCCCGCCCCAGGGGCGCGCTGAGATGGCAACTGAGACTGGGCGTGGTGGTGCGTGCCTGTAATCCCAGCTCTTGGGAGGCTGTAAACAGGAAGATCACTACAAGTCCGATCTAGTAGTGAGACCCTGAACACCCTGTAGACCCCTCCCTAAAATACAAAAAGCAAAATAAGAACACAACTAATACTGGTTTGCAGGAAAGTACAGTCTTCTTTTGGTATAAAGGTGATGAACTGTAATGAACATTAAATTCATCAAAAGCTCATTTTTTCAATAAACAATACATTAGAGTATTGGATTACCACACTATGACAAAATTTCTTACCCTACAAATAACTTTCAAATCTTAAAAGAACTTATTTTTAAATCCATGGCTAGGTTAAAAAGCATGTATCTATCCATTTTATAATTTTCAACTACATTTTAGTATACTGGAAATGTGTGTCACTAGCATTTAAATATACACAAGTATCCCAAAGAAAAATCATTACCAGTTATTCCCAGAGAAGTACAGCCTAGCTAACACAAAATATGGGTAACTGGTTGGCATTTCTTTTCCCTTTGAAGTCTTACAAACCATCGAAGTTGTAGTATTCGTATAACTTAACGACTGAAAACTAAGTTTCATATTTTAAACAGCAACAATCTTCAAAGCATGGCCTATTACAAAAACAATATTTATAAATAAAAACACACTCTATAGCAAATGAACTGTTTTAACACAAATTCAGAAAATGAGGCAGAGTCAGGAAACCCCTGCTATGGAATAGGATTCATTTTTTAAAAACTAGCTATGATTACATATTGATTTTTTTTCTAGGACAGATAGTCATTTTATACTAAGAAACTCCCATTTATAATTTGACAAGTTTATGAACTTCATGAAGATACGGCACGAGGTGAATCTCTTTTGAAATGAGAGCAGACCCCTACCAGACAGTGAGTAGACTTTGGGCCAGAAACATTCCTATTTGGAGTGAGGATCAGCTTCCTTAAGTAACCTGCCTTAAGAGATTCCAGAGCCATAATCAAATATGAAACAGTAATGCCCATGTTAACACATTTCCTACATGCCTGTATCTATTAATAAATTTCCACTTAAAAATCCTTTTTCATACTTACGCCATTCTTGTTTTAATACTTAATACAATTATACTTGCTTCAAATACACTGCATTTTCATCTAATAAACATGAATTTATTTATGTGATGTATTTTATTGAAAAGTGGATCCAACTTGTAGTCCACTTAGGGGGAATAAGTAACTTTCACATCCCTTCTTTTCTCTCTAGTTGAATATGACAAAATGACATCAAATGGCAATTAACTTCAAAGTAGAACGATATTCTCTATGGAGCTATTTATTGGGAATAAATGATTTATGTTAAGGTATCTTATGACAAGCTATGCACATTCCAGAAAGAGTTCTAAGAAGACAATGGGGTCAGATAAATTATTTCCCTTGCCGTGACGCTGTGCTACGCTTACAGTAAGGAACACTGTATTTCCCGATCATTAGCTACAAAATCAGATCCAGTTACAAAAGGCATATGCATTTCTGCTGGAAGAGCACGTCCGTGTGAGAAGGCAGATAATGTTGTGTCTGTACAATTTCACCTAAGGTACAACTCACTGAAAATGTTTACTTGACCTAAAATAATTAATGAGAATAAATTATTCAGTAATTTCAATCTTCATATGATGCCCTTTAAACCTGTTTTCAGACCAGCAACAGTGACTACAAGTCCCTAGGTTTTCTAGCAAGGCAGCATCTTTTTCATTATCATTTTTTAATCAAGAGAGTCAACTGAGCACAATTTTTTAAAACTTATGATAAAAAAATATACTGGATTATTTGCGGAAAAAATTCAAAACTAACATACTTTACACTGTGTGTAAAGGCCAGGATCTAACAAACGAGGAACAATTGGCCTTCTCGGTCTTCTCAAGCAGAATGATTTCACAGGAACAAATCTGGAATCAGATCTTGAACTAAAGGCAACATGATCTAAGCCTGTGTATGTCTCTCACATTTAACCTGCTAAAAATCCTGGGAAATCCACCAGTCAATGGTCATCTTCTAGCTGCCCAAGAAAATTTAATCAAAACTTGTATTTTAAGCACAATAACAGTATTAGGAATCCATTTTAAAATAACAATTACTGGGCCCGGGAGATGGCTCAGTGGAATAAGCGCTGCCCTGGCAAGTGCAAGGGCCTGAGTTCAATCCTCAGTTCCACCAAAAAAAAAAAAAAAAAAAAAAAAAAAATTACTGAAAAATAGTAATTTAAATAGCAATCATCCTGAAATCACATCCTATTATAAAATTACGCATCTACTCAGCATTTAATTCATAACATTCTTTTCTAATGTGTCAAAAAATGCACTTTATGGAAAACAAAGATTAATCTTTTTCCCTCTTAATGTAACTTTTCCAAAACATTTGTTAAAAATGAAACTGACAGTGACCCACCACTTGAAAATGAAAATATGAACTCTCCCCACAATAGTTGTCTTTAGTTATGTGGGGTAACATGGTTTTTTCCTTCTTGCCAGATATGTTAGAGAAAAGTTTTCCCACCTAGAAATACCATTAAACATCAAGATTTGCATTAGTTTCATCAATCAAGGAAGTTGTTTTTCCCAAATTATACTTGTTCTTTTTTTCTAATTTTGGCTTCCTCAACTTGGTTGTCCATTACAATAAATTTGTGGTAAAAGCATTGTTTCTTTGAGGATGTTTTCTCTATTAAAAAAGTCTAGGTTAAAAAAAAAAAATCTGCTTACTGCTGTAACTGTATCAACCTACTAAGTTCTGAAAAGACTGTATTTTTACTTCTATACAATATTTGCAAATGCAGAATATACTTATTTACAGCCAAATCTTGTAATTATTTAAAGCCCAGAGAAAGTATAATCTAACACTGAAAGAAAAATAATTTACTTATAACCATTTTTTTTTTTTAAACTTAAAAAATATAAACTGAACTTAAATGTTCTATTCACAGTTCCTAGCTTACACATCAAAGTTAACAAGTCTCAAAATACAATTTCCTGCAGAGGAATGACAAAACAATAGATGAATGTAAAAAAAAGTGAACATGAAACCCAAACAAACACCCCAGCAGGTATCCCTAATCTATACAGTTAGATCAAATGATTTAACTTTTAATTCTAATATTTTTGGACGAGGGACTCAAATACCAATTCGATTTATATTTATGGGAGGAGGGAACCTCAGAAGTCACTAATTTTTAAACTTCCCATGAAAATTCTATTTAAAAGTGTTTTCTCCTGAAAACCTTATGTTCCTTTTTTCCCCACAAAAAGACACTGACCCAGAACCTACAAATGTGACCTTACTTGGAAAATGAGCCTTCACAGGCTGACTGCAGATATAATTAAGGATTTCTCATCAGATTATCTGTATTAAAGTGCTTTATATCCAATGGCCATGTCTTTACAGGAGGCAGGACACAGGCGGCCGTGGAAAGACGGAGGCAGAAACTGGCTTACTGCTGTGCCAATAAGCTCCCCTCCCGGCTTCCCGAAAGAACCGCCTCTGTAATACTTTGACTTGACTCTCACTCTATAAACGGGAGGAACTTTTTGAAGTCACCAGATTCATGGTCGTTTGCTATTGCAAACCTAGGAAACTAACACAGTAACTTATTTCAGGAAAACTTTTACTTTAAAAGGTATTATAATTAACACCATTTATTTCTGGCCTTCATACATGCCTTACTGGGCATTAGTGATATAGTAGGCCATCTAGACTTTAAAACCAATTTGATTCCTAGATAAACCTGTTTGTAACTTACTAGCTATACAAATCTGTTTTAATTTAGAATTAAAACTGTATTTCTGAAATGTTAAACAACTTTTCAATCAGGAATGTTGGCTGATCATTTATAAATATCACTCAAACATTCTGTTAGCTTTCTGGAAAAAATTACAGTAAACTAGTTATATTACTATGAAGCATCCTGATTTTCTTGAACTTATGTAAGAAGTTTCCTAGCTTTATGTTTAATGGTATAACAGATATGATGAGAGAATTGTAAACACGTTTATTTTGCATCAGTTTGGTTTTTGAATCAGGTCTGGAGCTTTCTCAGTTCTTTATCCTGAACTTCCTCAGACTCGTTATGCATGCCTAAAATGTACATAAATATCAGATGTGATCTTAGGATCACTGTAGTACCCCCCCCAAATTGTTTTTATATATTTAGTTATCCATTTTGGAGACAGTATGAATATTCTTGTATTACCACATAAACCTTTGGATATCCTGATTATCTGGCCACTGGAAAGTCTTGTTCAGAAAGATATAAAAAGTTAGGAAATTAACAAGTGCATAGCAGCTTAGTTCACACAGAAGTCTTGACGTGGGCGGCAGAGGTATGTTAACCCTATAAATAATATAAGGTAAAATAAAGTAACGGAATTCTAGCAGTTTCTGAGGAACTGTAGAAGTAAACAAGCATACAAAAAACATTAAATTCCAGAAAACTGATTTTGATTTCAACGAGTCAGCTATACTCCAACCAGCAAATATATAGCCTGGAACTAACAAATATTTCATAATATCATGTCTTTGAAAAACTCTTTTCCACACATAGAATGTATAATGTCTATTGTCCGCTAGCAAGTATCTATGAACGTAAGTAAACTTCCAAACTAAAAATATGGAGACTGAGGTAATAATAAGAAACTGGATTCTGCGTTTCCAAACTAAGAAAATAAAAGTCTTAATTTTGGTAGGAGATAGCAGGTGGGGAAAGGAAAAAAAGAGAGTAAAAGAGAAAAAGTAGAAGAGCTGAGGAAAATGAAGACAGGCCTCATGATTACTCCGGTCACCAATTACAATTCCACCATTAACTACTACAAAGGCACCAAATGCCAGGACCAGAAGGACGTAGGGCCAGGTCAGGAGGATGAGCGCACTCAAGTTCTTAAAGGACAGGCAGTACGCCAAGAGGAACCAAACAATTCTCCTGAATTCTGAAAACGGTCCTTTCCCAGAGGGGAGCCTCTCTTCCTTTTTCTTTTGCAGCTCGGTTTTCCACGCTTCGGTCAACCTGTGCGCTACGATGTGTCCTGCGCAGAAGACGGTCCAGATGATATTTGTCTGGCGAAACATGAAGCCCCCAAATCCAAGCAGGGCTGATGTTTTATGATTTCCATAAAGACACATCAAATATGCAAAAAGAGTAAAAAACATGGATCCTGCTTCTGTATAATAAAGGAAGTTAAAAAAGTAGAGTGTAGGAAATATTGCTAGTGCCAGTGTTGATAAGATTCTCTGGATACTGGAAGCACCCTTGGAGTGTAAAAAAAAAAAAAAAAAAGTTAAAATTATTTTCAAGACAAAACAAGTATGCTACTTTTGGTGAATGAATTAAGAGATTTATGTGAAAAAAAAATCTTCAACCTTATTTGAACAAACTTGCTCAATGTTAATCTCGTTTGCAAAACTTCAGTATGCATTTATACCAAAACTTCTTGCTACTGTTTAGTCACAACCCTCAGCTGGAGGCCCCTAGAACAATACCTATGTGTGCCAATGCTCCTCTAGCTTAAAATGTTAGAGCTATAGGGTATTGGATGGGGAACGATGTTCTCTAGGGAATAGAGATGAACAGGACACCACGCAGGTCGCTTCACTGCCCTGAGCGTCAGTCTTAGCCTCTTCCATCAGCACTCCAAGTCCCTGTGCAGGTGTCCCTTCAAATCCCTGGACTTGCAGAAAAGAAGCATGTGTTGGGTATTTGTACCACTCTATCCAATGAGTTTACTTATGATAAAATGATAGGTATGTTCCAGAAAATAGTACAGTTTACTTATGATAAAATGATAGGTATGTTCCAGAAAATAGTACACTCAGTTTAAAGTCAAATAATCTTTTGGCTTTTCTATAGGTGCTTTCTAACCTCAGGGCTTTTATCTCCTTACATGGTATCTTTCACTTAACCTAACTACACTACTATTCACTCAATTAAATCCAGCAACACCATTCCCTTGAATAAAATGAAAGCTGGGCTATCATTTACTATGAAAGCTTAAAAACCTTTCTGTGACATAGAAGGACACATAAGGAACACACATACATGCTTGACTTCACCTCTATCCGTAGCTCTTTATAATTCTGTAATTTAAAATAGTAACTCTCTGGACCTTACCATTCCACATCTTTCTACCTTTCCTTATGTTGTTTATTTGACATGATCAATCCTAGCCTACAGCCCCTCTATTCTTCAGGATTCACTCCCAGTACCACCTTCTCTGCGAATCCTGACCCAAGGCCACCCATTCCCCTGCCTCAGAGTCAGGCTGAAGGGAGCACCTGGTCTTCAGTTCTTTTTCTGTATCCTCTGCATCCTCACCACATCATCATTGGTCCACATCCCTCTCATAGCTGATACTACTGAAACCATCTCTTTAAATTAAAATTTTAATAGTTAATATTTACTAAATCTGTTATTTAAGGATACTGACCTAAACATCTTCCATTTAGCAAGCTCCTTTTATTCTCCATGGCAATTCTATTCAGTTATTATTCCTACTTCATAGACGAAGTCACAGACATGAAGGGGTTTGCAACCAAGGTAACATAAGAGGTAGTGACAGGGACTGCTTTCAGACTCAAGTACTCCAAAGACTGCAATCTAATTTCAAAATTTCTCAGGTAAAGTTTGTTTCCCCTAACCAAAATACAAGTTCCACAAAGAAAAGGCAATCGGCTATCTCATTTATCTCTCTAGAACCCATGCCTTGCTCATGAAATATGTTCAAAACACATTTATCAAGCTGGCTTGCAATTCACTGACATCTCTTTTAGATTCATCCTTACACAGACACTAATTGTTTAAGACATGTTCTTCCAAATAGCCTAAAACTTATTCATCTTAACTGTGACTCTGACGGCGCACACTCTGGTACTAGAAACATACCTTGTTTTTGGGTTGCACCTTCTGGAAAAGCAAATACAGTAAATAGAAGTTGCCAATGCTGAAGAGAAGATTGACGAATCTGAGCATCCCAATGGAGCAGACAACATGTTCAGACCATCCAAAGATCCAGCTGGCAGGCTTGACCACACCCACGGACACCAGGTATAAGCCAGGTAGGGTAGTAATCATAGGATCCCACTTAAAAATGAAACACCAATAATTAAACAAAAGCAAGAGGAAATGCAGACAGAACAGACACACGCACGACAAACTCAAGGTTCATCGTACCAACGACCCAGAACCATGGGAAAGTCATTCTATGACACGGTTAAGTAGGTCTTGATCCATTGTCTGCTTATGGATAGGGTTTTCTTTTTTGCCTCTGCACCTGTGTAATGAAGATACGTACAGCCAACAAGTAACTTAACATTCCTTTGTTTCCTGAGACTTGGGTTTTAGAAAGCCTGCATTTTGGTGACTAAATGGCAAGCCTCCGGTTTTACAAAGCACATAAATGTTGGCTGAGAAAAGAAATGGGGGGCAGACCGGACCAAAGGCTCTGTAAGGACCGCCAGCAGGTACCAGTCCAGGGTTGTGCTACCCCCTTCCCCAATGAATTGAATCTTACAACACAAGCTACGAGAGCACTGCTGTCATTCTGCCGCAGAGCAGCTTGAGATTCACTTCCAAGGCTTTGAAATCAGTAACAGCATCAAGACCTAAAAACACGTTTTCCCCTGCATAATCTACACGTCTAGCCAGCACCCCACGATGTCATCGGGGGACGACGAACGGCATGTTTTGGAGCCTGCATCTGCAGGTACGAGCAAATTTATTTTTAGGCGATGCCGTGAGACTGGCTGGCAGTCTACCCGGCTAGCAGAAGGTTCTCTAAACGATGCGGGGAGACGTCGGCGGCCGCCGTGCCCCTCCGGCGGCGCGGCCCGGCCCGACCCCCTCCAGCACCGGCAGGGCCTCGCGGGGCCGCCACTGTCCCTGCACAGCACAGGGTTTCCCTAGCTCCGAGCCGGGGCCCGGGGCGCGGGGGCGCCGACGCACCTGCGCGGGGGAGAAGCGGCCCTCGCAGTAGCGCTGCGCCTGCGGCAGGTGGAAGACCTCGTCCATGTAGGGCTCGCGCAGCGCGCGGCTGAAGGCGGAGAAGAGCAGGCACGACACCAGGAAGGTGCAGCTCAGCGCGGCCGAGAAGTAGTAGCCCTCCAGCTGCGCCGCGCCGGACCCCATGGCCGCCGCCGCCCGGCCCGCGGAGCCCAGCCAGCGACTCGGCTCGAAACGGGCGCGCGAGGCGGGGCGGACCGGAAAGGACCCGGCGCAGCCGGAAGGCAAAGGATGCCGGGAGAGCGCGGGCCGGAAGAAGCGCGGCGCTGTTTCCGGAGTGAAGACTTTCGGTAACGGACTGGCCCGTGGCCCTGTCAATCACATTGCCTCAGGCAGAGGTTCCCGGAGGGGCGGGGCTAGGAATTCTGCGCCTGAGCGCAAGTAGCGTGGTTCGAGGTTTCGGAAACCGATTTCTTGATCCGTCGCGGTTTATGCTGATCGTTTTCTGTCTCTGACCACAAGGTGGCGCTATGTCCCCACGTTTCCGATCTCCCAACTCAAACCTTACATTTCTTTGGTTATTTCTGTTCACTCCGTTGATCTGGATTGCTAAAACCTTCAGGCACAATACATTTCATTCCGTGAGCACAGGATGGTGGAAAGAGAGCATTGGACGCACTCTGGAGGAGTGGAGAGCAATTATTTTAGAATTTTGGACACTTTAGGTGAGGTAGGGTGCTGTGCAAGTGTAATTGTTTTAATATTCTGGATTGCACTGTGGTGTTTGCCATGAGCATCAAAAATGGACTTACTGGGCATCGCTTATGTGTGCAGTCTCCAAATGGTTTGCCCACAGGCATATGAAGTTGTAGACTTTAATATAATCTGCTGCAGATTATATTGTTTAGATGTCACACAGCCCTGTATTCTGATATTGGAGTTTGGAGGCAAGAGAAGGGGACACGTCGTTGGAGGAAATATTACGTGTGTAATTTTTCCTAGAGCATAGTTGGCAGTGTTTTCTATAAACATCCCTCCAGCAACCTCTGTCAGGTTTCCTCCTGGTCCAAAATAGCAAAGAGAAGGGAGTATTTCTTCAGAGTTGCTAACTTCCTTCTCTGGATGGAAGCTAATTCAGTCTGTCTCAGCATACGGGCCGCTTCTCAAAAAAAGCTGACTGAGTCCCAAGAAAAGACCCTGCTGTTTTCTCAATAAAAAAAAAAGGGACTCATTGGAATCATTTCTTGTTTCCTGCTCTGATGTGATGCTTAACTTTATCTCCTGTATCATCTCCTATTTGATTATTGTGTCCGTGCTGCATTTTTCGGGTATCATCTCTAGGTGATTCTGTGAGCAAGAAGTTATGGTTTAGAGGTATTGTGATTGATCACAGACCCAGCCAATCATATAAGGGGTGGCTCGAAAGGTGTATTCAAAGTTTATTGCAGTGAAAGTCACATTGTCACTGACCTTTAAAAATCACCTCAGTTAAAACATATCCCAGGGCCGGCGAGGTAGCTCAGTGGACAAAGCACCTGCTGTGGCAAGAGCAGGGACTGGGGTTGATCCCTGGACCCCCTGGGGTGAACTGAGCCAGTGACGGAGTCCAGGCGAGGTGGTGCACACCTGTAATCCCAGCGCTTGGGAGACTGAAATCAGGAGAATCTCCACGAGGCCAATCTATGCAGTGAGACCCTGTACCAAATACACAAATGAAAAAACAAAAAAAACAACCCAAAACATATCCCACCATTCTGGCTGATGTTAGAAGCACTTCTAGAGGTCTTCTTCCATGAATATCCTTAACAGGAGTGGTTAAAAACACTGAATGAATGTGGTTGCCAAGTGAAATCCAACAGAAAAGGTAAAAGATTACAGTGTGTTCTCATCCACTTTATTGAATCTGGCATCATGCCACTTCTAGCCTTTTCCCAGAGTCAAAATGATAATGAATGAAAAGCATTTTGAATCAACTCAGGACATTAGGGCAACCGCATGAACACTACTGAAGGCAAGGGGACTGCTAGCATTGCCTTAGAATGTGGCAAGCACAGTTGGATAGGTATGTTCAAATCCAGGGGAAGTACTTTGGGGGGGGAATTAAGGGCAACATGTCTTTCTCCGTAACTGTAAAAAAATTAAATATTCTCCCCCCTTTTTTTATTTTCTTTTTGTGCAGGGTCTCACTTCACCATTGGTTTTTATCACACCTCAAACATAACCTAAATACTACTAACCCTCTTTAGAAATAGTGGCTATGTTTTATTTGTTTGTATTTATTTATTTATGTATTTGGTACAGGGTCTCACTACATAGTTTAGACTTGTAGTGATCCTTCTGTTTTCAGCCTCCCCAGCTGAAAATGGGTGTGTACAGCCATGCCCAGACTCAGCCCATCCAAGGGCGGGGCTGGCGCAGCATGTGGTGGTGGAGATGGAACCTAGTCCCCATGCTTACTTAAGTGGGAGCTTCCTCCTCTGAGCTACCTAACCAGCCCAATAGTGGATTATTTTAAAGGAAGTGCATAAAGCTAGAAGTTTATGCTATATGTTTTTTTTTTTCCGTAATAACTGCTACCAGACTTGAGGACCAGTGGAACAAATTAGAATATGAGAACACAACTACAAACACACTCAGCCACCTTCTCCTTTACAAAGGGGCCAAACATGTTCACTGAAAGAAAGGCAGCCTCTTTAATAAATGGTTTGGGAAAAACTGGCTCTCTACATTCCAAAGACTAAAATTAAACCCATGTCTATCACCATGCACTAAACTAAAGTAAAAAATGCATCAAAGATCTGTATATTAGAACAGAAACATTAAAACTACTTCAAGAGAAAGTAGGTAGAAATCTTGATGACATAAGTGTAGGCAGAGACTGTGAACAAAGCGTAAACTTCATGGGAAACACTTCAAAGTTGCAGCAATTGGAGTCTTATCCTAAGAAAGCTTTTGCACATCAAATGAAATAACCAACAGAATGAAAAGCAACCCACACAGAGGTAAAAATTTTAGCTGATTGTTTCTCAGACAAGAACTTCTATCTAGAACATATAATGGGTTGAAAAAACTCATACCTCCCCAAATCCAAAGACCTAATAAAAAAAATAGGCATCTGAAATGAACACTTCCTTCTCAGATGAAGAAATACAAATGGCAAATAAATATATGAAAAATGTTCAACATCATTGGGAATTAGAGAGATGCTAATTAAAGCAATGCTGAGATTCCATCTCACCCCAGAAAGAACAGCTATCATCAAGAAATCAACTGTCTCACCCCAGAAAGAATAGTTATCATCAGGAAATCAACCAACAGCAAATGCCGGGGGATCTGTGGGGGCGGAGGTACCCTTCTCCATTGTTGGTGGCAGTGTAGATTTGTGCAACCACTTTGGAAACCAGTCTAGAGATTTCTCAGAAAACTAGAATTAGAGGTCCCATTTGCAAAGCTATTCCCTGTCTGGTTATTTTCCCCAAAGAATTAAAAACATGGTACCACAGTGATATATGTGCACTGTGTTTATAGCACAATTTCATAGATCAGCCTTGTAAATCCAAGAATGGTTTGAAAAATAGACACGGTATTTTTACGCAGCGGCAAACTACTCAGCTATAGAGAAGGTTAAGCTTCAGACGCTTATTGAGAAATGGATGCCACTTGAATCCATACTCATAAGTGAAATAAATCAGTCTTGCCTGTGTAAATATCATATTGTCTCCGTGTAAGAAGCTGAAAGAGTAAATCAGACTCAAAATGATACTGAGAAATGGGAAGAAAATCCTCAAGAGCAAAGAAAAACTGGAATGGGGGAAAGGAGAAAAGAGAAAAGGAAAGAACAATATATAAATGTACACACCCCCAAGATAGTTAAGATGGTTATACTACTAATGGCTGTTCACTCATTGAAATTGAAGGTTTATGCCTATATTGTTTGATAAATTTTTCATGTCAATACCTTGTAACCTGAACAACTACTTTGAAGATAACAATATATAATATATTAATTGTAGCTACTATCCAATCTTATTTTGAAATATCATTGTTTTATTATTTTTCTTTTCTTTACATTAAAAAGTAGATGAAAGACTTTATGTTAAGCATCTGACTCCCCTACATGCCTCATATATTTCTTTGTTCACTGAAAGGTCTGAAGGAAATATGAGGATTTGGAACTTATGTTTTAATAAGGGATCTTTATTAATAATCTGCATTTTAAAGAAGCTGAAGATAAGTAGCTTACCAGCAATTTCAGAGAAAACTAGCATCGGAACAAGAAATAGGAATTAAAACATCAGATCAAAAGTAAAACTCTATAGTCTAAGAACTAAAATAATCTGATACTTATTTTTAAATGAGTATTTAATTAGGCCCAATGAATTTAAATTTGCATTCCATTCCTTCTGTTTCTGTCAATTGAGTGGACTAACATAGGTTTCATTTTTAAAAGTTTCACTTTGTAGACTGATTTACATAAAAATTCCATTCCTTCTGTTTCTGTCAATTGAGTGGACTAACATAGGTTTCATTTTTAAAAGTTTCACTTTGTAGACTGATTTACATAAAAATTGCTGAAAAGCATTGTAAAAACCAGATTCCAATGTGTGCTTTCAGAATACTTAATAATCATCTTCAGATTTGTAAAGCATCACCTTGAATTATAATACCTAAAGATGTAAGAAATCCTATGGAACAAATAAAAGTTTTTCTAGAACATTCTACTGTTTTTTTAAAACTATTTACAAATTGATAAAGCTGTTTGTCTCAGTTACTCTTCTCTCGTTGCTGGAACAAATACCCAACACCCAAAATGAAGGAAGGAAAGGTTTCTGTAGCTCACAGTTAGTGAAAGTTTCAGTCCATACTCGGCTGGCTCCAAGGCAGAGTAGCACATGGAAGAGGGTAGCAGTTCATAGTGGCAGCAAAGAGCAGAGAGCAAAATGGAAAAGTAGCAGCAACAATGGTTGCAGAGAGCAAGTCTGTCTCCCTTAAGTTGTACTCAAGCTATCTGCCCCAGGCTGGGTGCAGCACTCACACCCATAATCCCAGTGGATCATGAGTTAATCACAAACTCTAGAAATCCTCCCCAGGGCTGCATGAAGCTTTGCAGGACAACTAGACGCAAACCATTACACTATTGTTACCTTTATACTTTGAGGTTACCACATATAATGGGAAGCAAAAATACTTTCCCTAGTTCTACTCCTAAATCATGACCTGCCATTATCGCTGGGGGTTTTAATAAACTTACA